CTTTCCCTATGTACAGTGAGATCGGTGTGCGGGGCTATTGGTAACTGTCTACGTGCCTTCCTGACAAGTTCTGCCTGCTGTGACATGTCATCTTCATGGTTGCTACATCCTGCGATAGGAAAGGACGTTACTGAGGAGTGTGAAGATGGATGAAGCATCTAAATGCCAAGGAACCACACCAAGTCTTGAAAGCTCAGGCTTCTCTGGCCAGTTGTCCCTTGTGCGACGGGGTGGGAAGAGCTGTGAGCGGCAGTCCTCTCCACCAGCTCAACGCAAGCCTTTCGCCCAGCTGCTCTGGAGACAGAGCTGAGCTTTGCACTTGAGATGTGCTGCAGGGGCTTCTGAGCACTCGGAAAAGCAATGGTCAGTATGGACAGGTCAGCGTCTCCATGGAGCATGCACATAAAAAAATGCACTACATCCGCAAAGATTTCCACAGTTTTACTTCCTGGAGGATTTCCCTGGTTTCCTCCTAAACAGCGGAGGTTTAAATATATATATTTCTATATATGAATATATATTTTCCACATACACAACCTGACTAGCTCATAGCACACAGTTCTAACACAGCTAAGCTTGGAAATACACCACTGAATTCAGAACACTACACCTACTTATGCTCAAAGCTTTAGGCTGTTAGCGCAAGGCAAACAGGACACATCACACAATACATCGAACTTGGCATTTATTCATTACTAAGGCCAGCAAGTGTCACTATCTGTATACCACAGAGCTTTCCTCCTCTTTGGAAACTTTCTCTCAGCCTTGTAAGCCCACCACTCATTTATGTTTCCAAAAGACCCAATTCTAATGGGGTGAGACCCTAAAAACGGGACTCCTCACCCTCCCGGCCCATCTTCTTTTCTGTTAGATCGTTTCACATCTCTAAAATATCCTAGCAGCAAGACCTCCCTCATTCAAACACCTCTACAGGAACACAGTTCTGACCGTCTCCTCTCACGCACCTCCCTACCTGACTTCCCATCTCTCTCTTTGTCCTTCCCAGTCATTGCTTCTCTGAAAGTTTCAAGCTGGACTGCGTGTTAGTATAGAAATATTGAGCTGCAGAAATAAAGAACCCTGCGTCTTAACTTGCAGCTACTGTGCTACGGGAGACTTTCACGGCTCAGTTTGGTGGGATCAAGATTAATCCTTACGTATTTAGGACACAATCTAGAGTTAGGCACATAAATTTGGATTGGGACCATACCTCCCCCAGCTGCTATTGACTCAACGACACAAATTTTGGGGTATGCCATGCCAGTCTGTTCGGCCAGTTCAAAGCTGCCGACAAATGGTCCCACTGTGTTTACAGCTTCCAAACTGGTCTTGCCGGGCATGGGGATTTCCTAGAGTAAGAGCACAGTAAACAGGATTGAAACCTGAGAACTGGCCTGGAGGGAGTCTAGGGATCCCAGCAACCGGTTTATGGCCCTCTTAGGATACTTATGAGCCAACGTGACCTCCAAGAGCTGGTAGAGCCAAAACAACGGGGGCTGACAGCTCTAGCCAACCTTGGTGACTTCTTTCTTTCTACCCCTTGAAGGCCACGTCTACAAACTAAACCTCTTTCTGAAATCTAGCCCTGTCTGCTGGCACCCCAGAAGTGAAGAAAGCAGACCAAGATTCAAAACAAACCAGGAATAACTAAAAAGATCCGTAACCTAGGGAAAACGATAGGGAAGAACAGCCTGCCGATAACCGAGTCTGACCTGCCACATGCTTGGGAAGTCTTCACTGCTCTCTGTGCCTTCCCTCGCTCCTTTTTTATTTAATCAAGTCTTTTGAGTGGTGTTGATGGTTGAAGCTGCCTTGATGCAGCTAGAACTATCCCTCAGCTACCCTGGGGGAAGATTTGGCCCTTTACTTGCATGGGATCTCCTTCCCTGTTGCTTCTTGGAGCTAAAGTCCCACCGGTGTCACCAGGGGAAATCGCTCTTGGCCACACCACTGACTCTGTTGGATTTATAGCAAATTCATGGCACCTTTGATCCTCTCTGCCTCCAAAACCTTCCACCTCCTGACACCAGTGGGAGATGACCAAACAACGGCCAACCCCAAAAAGGCCTCATGGGATGAGAGCGCAGCCCCTCCATGGCTTGATGAGCACTTCCATGCCATCAAAGCATTGAAGAACCAAGCCCGAGGAAAGGGACAGGCTGCTGGACACAATCACACTTGATCCATCGCCTTCATCTCCTACGAACCCCACTTGTGCATTCCCACGTCCCTCACTCTGTGCAGAGCCGTGTTGTGCAGGCAAAGCAGAACAACCTGACCTCAGAAACAAGGATTCTCTAATCCTCCTTGGAAATAAAACAGAAAAGCTTCTAATACAATCAGAAGAAAAAGCAGATTAGAAGCCTCTAATTAATTTTGTGGCCTTTATTTAATCAAAGAAAAAAAAAAGGGAAGAAAGAAAGTAAGAAAAAAAGAAAAGGAAACAAAAAAACGAGAAAGAAAGGAAAGTGCAGTGACATTTACTCTTTTGCCTCAGCCAGTTTATTGTTCATCTCTTTACTTTTCTCCTTGTCCTCCGGCTTTGCTGTGTTGGAGGTCTCGGCGCTCTTTTTCTTGGCAGCCCGGCCAGATGCAATCTGCTTGTCTTTGGCCTTTTTCAGGGGTTTATGGCTTGTTGTGGTCTTTTTTGGTTTGGAAGGCTTTACGCTAGGCTTTTCCACCTGCATGGAGGGCGACATGCAAAACGACAACACAGAGATGGAGAGAGACAGAGAAAGAGAGACACAAGGACAGGTGGAAAACAGGATTTAGATCAGAAACAGCATGAATGTTACTTATCTACTCAGCTTTGCCCTGCCACAAAGGGAGCAGCTGGGCGCATGCTGAGTTGCAAATGGCCAACTCCTTTCACGGCGTGGATGCCCTGAAGCCACAGTGTCCCCATAGCTGGCAGAGCCCATCGTATCCGGATCAGGACACAGTAGGGTAAATAGGAGAGGGAATATTAGCCGTCATTTTATCAATTCCTCCATCTTTTTCTGATTTCAGGAGGGGCTTTGCAAGCCCACAGGGGATTGTCTTTCTCTGGATTTGAAGCTCAGAAATGATGCTCAGGACAAGGAAGCTGCTACATATCCCCACCTTTCTTGCAGGATGTGACTCCTCAGTCTGTTTGTCCCTTAATATACTGTCACAACGCAGGAAAATTACTTGGGGATAGCTGGGGTGCAGGACACGGACTGGCACTGCACAGAGTCCACAACGATGTCTTGCATCCATCTGTTCCTACAGCCCCCAAAATAGGGAAGACAGCTTCAAAATTAAGGAGGAACAGAAGCCTTCAGGTCCTCCATGCTGGCCCTGCCATCCCTCTGAGACCTCACAAATCTAAGCACTTATAAACTCTGGGAATGACTAATGGTCCTAGGTTTAAAAGTGGACAGACTGACTCCATTTACATGCAGATCCTCCGCTGCTCCTAGACCACAAAGCTGGAAGACATTTCACGCCAGGCTCTTCTTGACATGTCCTTGATCTGATCAAAGCCAAAAGTGCTTACTGTCAAAATCTGTGGAGCGCTCTGAATTAATTGCAGATGAAGATATGGCTCTTACCATGTTGTTCCTGGGATAAAGGGTAATGCGGGGTGCCTATAGATTTGGAAGGAGAAAGAGAAAGCTGCCTAGAAAATGACCTGGGAAATCACTATGTAAAAACCTCTTCATCTGGGCCCTACACTCACCTCTTTACGGTTTGATCTAGGGCATCTGTCTCCAGAGTGCGTCACCCTGTACTAGAGCCCACAGAAGCACAGAATGGTTTGTGTTGGAAGGGACGTTATAGACCATTCAGCTCCAACTCCCCTGCCATGGGCAGGGACCGCTTCCACCAGCCCAGGGTGCTCAGAGCCCCGTCCAACCTGGCCTTGAACCCTGCCAGGCAAGGGGCAGCCACAGCTTCTCTGGGCAACCTGGGCCAGGGTCTCATCACCCTCATAGTGACAACTTTCTTCCTTATATCCACTCTAAATCTCCCCTCTTTCAGTTTAAAACCATCACCCCTTGTCCTGTCACCCCATGTCCTTGTCAAAAGCCCCTCTCCAGCTCTCTTGCAGGTACTGGCAGGCTGCTCTAAGGTCTCCCTGCAGCCTTCTCCTCTCCAGCCTGAGCAGCTCCAGCGCCCAGGGCACGGCTGGCCTTCTGGGCTGCCAGCGCACACTGCCGGGTCATGGCCAGCTTTTCATCCATCACCATCTTCCAAGGTGGATCCCACCCACTGGTTGGAAATGAAGATGCCACATAAGGGGAATGACAAGAAGCAGTGTTCTGCCCAGCCTTACTGTGTTGGACATGTCCCACCACGAGCACTGATGGCTCCAGGTCCCTTCTGCCACATTTCTCACCTTTGGTGGTTCTTTGTAGGGTTCACTGTAGAGAGTGCGTATCCTTCTGCGCTCCAGGAATTTGTTATCAGCTGGAGCAGGCTTACTGGTTTCCCCCTTGAACTGAGCGCTGTAACTGGTTTCATGGGTCATTTTCTCCTCTGGCGGCTTGTACTGGGCCTTTGCTTTTATAGCTTTCACAGGTTTGATGTCTACCCAGGGTCTGAACTCGTTTCTGAAGACAGAAAAAGAAAGAGGTTCAGGAATTAAACCAACGGCAGAGTAGTGGTAATGTGGGAATGAAATCCCTCATTGCTCAGCAAGGTCTACTTGGATGGGCTTTTCCCTCCATCCAGTCAAGTTTACAAAGAAACTGGCTCCCAACAGCTCATTTCTGACGTCATCCCACTGACACATTTGGGGAAGTTCAAAAGAAATTTGGTCTATTAAAATCAGCCAGTCCTGGGCACCAGACAACCTGCTATTTGTGTAACAGTGGCCAGGTGCCCTCTGAAAAGCTGGCCTCAGATGTGATCGAGATGCTTTTTTTTCGAAAACATAGATGCTTTTTTGTGTCTACAGCTTCACCTCTGCACTGAAGCTACCTGCGAGCAGTTCTTGACTCTCGCAGTTAGGGCGGAAAAGAGTATTTGGAACGGAACATCAAAATTCATGTTCTGCAACTCAACACACGACAGACGCTTCTCAGCAACCTTCCCTGCAGGCAAGCTAGCTGATTCAGAAATGTAAGGAGCCAAGATTCTCTGCAGCCAGCCCTTACCCATGCCTGTAATTAATAAATTGTATCATTTTGCCTATATTGTGCCAAATTATGCACAACAGCTTTTGTTCATTCCATAAAGGAATAGTTCAAGTTACAGTTGTCTTAGATGTAAACTCAAGCAGCGCAGGAAACGCACGGTTTATCAGGTATTGTGAGCTACGGCTTCTCTTTATTAGCTGATGGTGAATTTCTGAGTTACAGGAAAAAATAACACCACCTTTCATTTCTTTTGGACAGAGCTGTGACTTCTTGGAGAAAAAACACCAAATGCGTTTCAAAGATTTTTAGCATCTGCTGGACATATTCTGGTTCCCATCTGCATCCTCCTTCTCCTTCATTTTTTAGTTCTTCCCAAAGGAGCACCACAGAATCACAGAATGTCAGGGGTTGCTGAGTTACAGGAAAAAATAACACCACCTTTCATTTCTTTTGGACAGAGCTGTGACTTCTTGGAGAAAAAACACCAAATGCGTTTCAAAGATTTTTAGCATCTGCTGGACATATTCTGGTTCCCATCTGCATCCTCCTTCTCCTTCATTTTTTAGTTCTTCCCAAAGGAGCACCACAGAATCACAGAATGTCAGGGGTTGGAAGGGACCTAGCATCCTTCTAGTTTTGAAGCAAACCATTCCATCTTCTCTCTAAAAATCACCATTCATCTCAGAATGGGGATGGAGAAACCGTGGCGTGTCGCTGCTTTAGACGGGTCATGTTCAGACATAGTCCAGGCAGTGATTAGACCCTTCAGACTCCAGTGTAAGCCAGGAGCTATCCTAACAAGCCCACTGCAAAGGGGTGAATTTTCCCTGGAAATCAAAGCCCTTATCTTTATTTCAGGAGCTCTGAGCCAACAGGACCTCTCTGCAAAGGCGTGAATTTTCCCTGGAAATCAAAGCCCTTGTCTTAATTTCAGGAGCTCTGAGCCAACAGGACCTCTAAGTTGCAGACTCTGTTGCTTCCACCCTGTTCCCCTCAATCACCTTGGGGCTGTGTTACTCATTTTCAGCCTGGTTTGTTAGGGAAATTAACTCTCTGTGAGGGTACTGCCAGTCAATCCCTTCCTGTAAGAGCTCTGAACATCTTAATCAGCTCCAACCAAATCTGACAAACGGTCATGGAGATACTCAGCTCTTACTTTTATGAAGATAAGCAGCTGGATTGAGTCCAGAGGCTGAGGAAAGCCTCAGTATGGACATGTAGACTTCATCGGTCATCAGAGGACCTGCTTAGACAGGGAGGCTAGGCTGCAGAAGTTCATCTGTTGTCCTCAGGGACCAGTAATAAATGCTCCCTTCATCTGCACGATCAGTGCAGCTCACTTCCCACCCAGTATTACATTTCCTGTTCACATAACTCCACTGCAAAGACGGAAAAAATCCCTTTTTCTCCCAAGATAACCACTGGTTGCAACAGTCTCCTGGGTGTGTTTCTCCTCCCAAGACACCTATGTCAAGGTCTCACCACATCTACAGGGCGACTGTGTCCCTGTGGCAGTCAACGCAGACTGGCCAACAGTCAGTGGAGCTTGGAGAGCCCTTCCCTATGCCAAAGATGGGTGACTGCTTTAGGGTGAGCTGAACGCCTCTTTTTGCTCTGTTGACTGACTAGATCTCCACTGATGGCAATACAAACATCTAGCACACGTGAAGACACTCACACAAATGTAGGTATCTTAATCTATGAGCCAAATCCCACCTCCAGCTCTCCATCCTTTCTTAGTGTTGATTTTACCAAGATCTACTTTTTCTTTTCCCTGTATTTCTTCATTTCCCTCCTTCTCTTCTACTATCCAGCCCTTCTTGGGCTTGGATTATGCTGCCAAAGGCCCAGGGATTCTGCTTGTTTGAAGGATGCTATTCTTCAGGAAACTGCATGAGCAACATCTGAATGTGCTCAGCTGTCCCCTTCTCTCCCGTTCAGTCAATGTCACCCATTTGTCCACAGAGAATTCTCTCCAGTCCATTGTTAAAATATCCCTCCTGCATGAAGAGCTGAGAGAAAGGAAGAGGAAATATCTTTAAAGAACTGGCTTAAAGATGTGAATGCATTACTGACAAACTCAAACTTCAGCCCAAGCTACTCAGAATATAAAAGGCTTCTTCCTAGGATTCATGTTTGTTCCAAAGTAGACTACATATTTTCAAGTGTTTTCCAAAGGAAATAAAGTCATGCACTACTTCTTTCTGCCCGTGTCTATCTGTCACTCAGATCCCTCCCTAGCAACTTTTGAACCCGTTACCTATTTTCTATCATATTTGTGACAGAGGTAGAAATCTCAGAGGTGAAAATCGCAACACCTTTCCTCAAAATCAGCCAGTGGGCACAGAAGGAACATCCAAACGGTGCTCTTCAACTGAGGAAAGGCCAAGTAAAGTTCATTTTCTACCTTATTGTAAGGCCAGCTGGCCAACCAGCCCACATGGACCACCAGGTCAACCAGCAAACCTCAGCAAAGCCTGCATCTACAGAACCAGAGACAAAGGATGGATGCTGTAGTACTGTGCACGTAGGGGCTGGACTTTAAAGACAGAACACAAACAAGGAAGTATTCTTCCTGTACTCATAAATTGCTGGTTTATATGGAGGTGAGCTTTGAAACAGTGTGACCGTATTTGTTACCGTAGTGTCTGGCCACCTCATTATGCACCACATTATGCGAACACATGGCAAGAGATGGGCTGCTCCCTGCAACCCTGCAAAGCCTGTGATCTCTGTAGAAAAGGCAGACACATGAGGTGGAGAAAGGGGAGAAAGAAGCCTTGTGCTACCTGTGAGCTGGCAGGAAATGCATTTCTGCACTTCCATGGGCTGCCTGCTGAAATGCTAAAGCAAGAGATCATGCAGTAAAGCTGGGCTGTTCATGCAACAACCAATCTCATCTGACCGTTAAAAATGAGCATGAATTTCTCTGCTCTTCTCCATCCTTGCTCTGACGGTCTTAATGCAGATGTAACAATTCTGTGAGTACTCAGCTCTGCTGTACTTGGCAACAGGATCCTTGACTACCCTGTGTCTCCCACAATGAGCCTGGCTTTGCAGGCAAAGGATAGACTTAAGTGGATGCATGCTAATGCACCATGTCCACCAGCTCTGCAATAGCTCAGCCACCATATTCTCTGGAAGCGGAGGACAGAAGGCTATCGATCTTGAAATATTTTACAGTGTTGACAAAGAAGCTGTAACTACCAAATATGTCACATGGATTCAGTGCACATCTAGAAATAACAGGTTGCCCAGAGAGGTGGGAGATGCCCCATTCCTGGGAACATTCCAGATCAGGTTGGACGGGGCTCTGAGCAACCTGATCCAGTTGAAGATGTCCCTGCTTATGGCAGGGGGTTGGACTAGATGGCCTTTAAAGGTCCTTTGCAACCCAAACAATTATGTGAGCCTATTCTATATGCTTTCCAGGCAAATGTGCTTGATTTCACATCACCAGCTATTTAGACTAGAGCCGGTCCCTTCAAGCATGAGAGCGAGCACCGGTCACATTTGTATGGAGTCCTACCACACCTGGGATGGACCAGCTACTCCCTGCTGTGACCACGCTCAAGCACCCAGTATGCCCAGTTCTGCATATCTGCTATCCAGAGCTTGCAGAGGAACTGCAAGGAGAGAAACTCAGACCATTTACTACAGCTACGTCTGGTGCAGCAAGCTTATCTCAGTGATAATTTTGATCTTCAGGCAACACATAAACTGCAAAAAAAGTGTTACCAGAATAGACACACAGGCTATTCTGTCCCAATTGTGTCACCGCCCAGAAACTCAACTTCCCATGGTTAATTAGCGCAAAAGTACAAAATTCTAAATCTCTCCATCTCTACCACAGACAAGTGAGGGAAAACAGCCCGTTGGGAACAGCCCTTGGAATATGCTGGTCCCTGAACCCAACCCAACCATTGCCTGGAAAAATACTAGCTGCCCTGGGCCAAAAACGTAGGTAGGAGCATGCTGGCAACTTCACAGCCTGGATCACCACATTTGAGTGCCAGGCACACTGAATTTACTAATGCAAAGGTACAAAACGAGGAGGCAGCTGCCCTGCTGGCAGTCTGGGTCTCTGCTGATTGCAGGGATGAGGGGGACGTCTCAACAAGGTGACCTAAATCCCCCTTCCAGGTCTGGTGACTCTCCATCAGATGTCTGTCTGACATGGTCACCATGAGCTCCTGTTGTCCAAACAGTCCACGGCATGGTTGCACCCTCTTAAGGCAGTCGCATTGCGCTGTGTGGAACTGGCCTGATGCTCCAGGATATTTATGTCACTCAGAGATGTTGCTTTATAAATACCTATACTCCTTACAAGCAGCAAAGAAGTGAGAGGAGAAGCAGCAGCTTCAAGATTTCTTTTTTTTTTGTTGTTGTATTCTGGGAACAGTAAAAATATCTGTTCTCTCAGGTATCGCATCGGTCGCTCCCGTTACACTAAAACTAACCCTGGCTTGCAAAA